TCCCACAATTCCATGCTCATGATCAGCTCAGATGGACCAACCTGGACCCTTTGGGATAAAAATCCAGCTGGAGACCCCTCCAGGAGCTCACAGACCATGGGACAACCCTCACCCACAGCCAACATCCCTTCCATAGTGTCCCACATGACAATCCCAGAGATTTTCCAGAAATTCCAATACCTCCACCCTCAGGATGTCATCGGCAGGAATCTCCTCCACCTTCTGCTCCATGTGCTCCACCAGTTTGGTCTCCAGCTCCACCAGGATCCGGCCCCGATACGCGACCCCCTCGCCCTTGGGATAGACCAGGAACAGGAGTCAGGATCCCGGAATTCCCTTCCTGAGGCCGAGCTCTGCCTTTGCTTCCAAGGAGCTTCATCACGGAGTAGCAGGATCAGGCAAAGAATTCCGGCTGCAGCTTCCAAGGTGGAATTTTGGGAGCAGAGCGGGATCGGGAGGCGCTAGCGGGAATAACCAGGAGCGGGAAACGCAGCGCAGGCTCCTGATGACAAAGCCAGGTTGGGTTAGAAGCAGCATTTTTTTGGGAAAAGAGGAGCCGGAGGTTATTTTGGGATGCGCCGGGAAGCAGCCGATGTCACCTTTCCCAAATTGAGCGTCTCGTAGGGATCAGGAAATCCGGTGAATTCCCGGGGGCTGCCGTACAGGTTGATGTAGCAGGGCCCGAAGGTCGGCAGGAATCCCAGCCCATCATCCACTGGGAATGGCAGGGAAAAGAGGGATTAGGGATTCCTGGAGGCACCTTGGGAATGCATCAGGCTCGCTGGAGCATCACAGGGATCACACAGCTGGAGGCCACCAAAATCCCGGAATTTCCACCCATTTTGAATCCCACGACCTCACCTTGGGGCAGGAGAACAATACGGAGGGCGTGGTGCTGAATCCTGGGAATTCCCAATCCCAGGAAAAGTCCCCATGGAAAAGGGCGAGGTCAGAGAGGGGTCAGACAAGAGTAAGAGTGACAGGAGAGAGGAAAGAGCCTCAGGATGTGCTGGGGAGGTTTAGGTTGGATTTTTGGGAAAATTCCTTCCTGGAAAGGGCTGTCCCCATCCCCGGAGGGACTGAACATCCCTATGGAGGTGGCACCTGGGGACATGGATATGGAGTGGCCTTGGGAGCCAATGGATCAGAGGGATTTTCCAACCCTGTGATTCCATGAGGAGAACCACTCGTTTTTATGGAACTTTGAGCAGGAATCCTGCCCTCCATGCACCCATCTGGCTACACATTCCAGACACAACAGCATCCCGGGAATCCCCAAAGGGCCAAATCGGAGCCATTCCCTTTTCCCAAGGTGCCCAACTCATCCCAGTGGATCCTCCCCCAGTCCAGAGAGCGGAACCAGTAAAACCAGTTCCAGGAGGTGCTGGGAAACTGGGATGTACTGGGAACGTACGGTCCGAGGGTTTCAGAGGCTTCACAGGAGCAGGAAACTCATCTGAGGCACAAAGAGAGGGAGAGAGGTTGGGAAAGGTTGGAAGAGGAGCATGGAAAAGGGATGGAGATGGGAATGAGGGGGGAGATTCCCACAGAGAGACAGAGAGAGAAAAGGAGAGGTTTTTCATGGAATCATGGAGTCAAGGAGTTATGGAATCATGGAATCAAAGAATCATGGAATGGTTGGGGTGGGAAGGGACCTTAAAGCCCATCCAGGTGCATCCAGGGACACTTCCCACTATCCTGGGTTGTTCCGAGCTTTGTCCAACCTGGCCTTGGACAATTCCAGAGGCTGTGGGATTGGGATGGAGAGGGGTTGGAGCATCCCTGAGTTGCATTCCCAGGCATTTCCTTGGGATCAAACAGATCCCAGTGGTGGGAAGGGAGATGCCAATCCTGGATCCCACCATTCCCATCCTCCCTCCCAGCCTCTCTCTCTCTCTCTCTCTCCAGCCCATCCCAGGATTTGTGTTGGGATTGGGAAGAGGGGACTGGACAGCACCAGGGGTGGGACACGGGTGGAGCCTCTGGATCGTGTCCTGATCCATGGAATCACGGAATGGCTTGGAAGGACCTTAAAGCTCATCCCATTCCATGGGCAGGGACACATCCCACTATCCCAGCATGCTCCAAGCTTTTTCCAGCGTGGCCATCCCGTGTCCCTACAGCTCATGGGGAAGTCACAAAGCCAAGTGCAGAATTCCCACTGGGATCACAGATTCCACGGAAGCACTGGCAGCAGGGAAAGTTCATGCAGGTGGAAGCTCCAAGCCCTCAGCAGGTCCAAAGCCACGTCCCAAATTCCCACTCTCCCACCTGGCACCAGTGACAGTGACACTCGGCTGAGCCCTGCCACGCCTGGGGGTGTTTAACCACAGAAAATTCCCGGGATTTGGAACAGCACAGGCTGAATGGGAATTCTCACCCTGTGACAGCCCCTAAATGTCACCTCAGTGGGGTGGACACGTCAGGGGGACGTGGCTGCCAGCAGCGGTGCCACCACCACCACGTGTCACCAACCTCCAGCCACACCATGGACCTGCAGCCTCCATCCCCCATTCCCAAGAACCCACCACATCCCAAGAATCCACCAAATCCCAAGAATCCAAAGGGGTTGGAACCAATCTGGAAACGGGCCACAGCTCAGAGTGGCTGCAGGACCCCATCCTGTGTCCCCAGGTGGGGACGGTGACAGCTGTGACATCCCCAAAGCCACCACCAACCTCCAGCCAGCCATGGACCTGGAGCCTCCATCCCCCATTCCCAAGAATCCACCAAATCCCAAGAATCCACCAAATCCCAGGAATCCAGAGGAGTTGGGGCTAATCTGGAAGTGGGGCACCGCTTGGAGTGACTGCAGGACACCATCCATGTCCCCAGGTGGGGACAGTGGCAATTGTGACATTCTTAAAGCCACCACCAACTTCCACCCATACCATGGACCTGCAACTCCTTTTCCCCATTCCCGAGAATCCACCACATCCCAAGAATCCAGAGGGGTTGGATCCATCCGGAAAGTGAACACAGCTCAGAGTGGCCACAGGACCCCATCCCGTGTCCCCAGGTGGGGACGGTGACAGCTGTGACGTCCCCAAAGCCACCACCAACCTCCAGCCATGCCATGGACCTGCAGCTTCTGTCCCCCATTCCCAAGAATCCACCACATCCCAAGAATCCAGAGGGGTTGGATCCAATCTGGAAATGCAGCACAGCTTGAAGTGACCACAGGACCCTTTGTCCCCAAGCAGGGACGGTGACAGCTGTGACATCCCCAGAGCCACCACCAACCTCCAGCCATGCCATGCAGCTCCTCCAAGGCCATGCATCCCAAATCCCGGCCTGCTTCCTGCCCTTACCCTCCAGCTCCCCGCCGGGGGCCGAAATCTTGGACATTCCGAGGAAAGCGGTGCCGACGACATCGTTGTGTGTCAGGCGGTCCCTGCGAGGTGACATCGTCACTTTGGGGACCGTGGGGGAGGGAATGTCCCCACACCCATCCCGCCATTCCGGGCACTGGGAATGCCCTTCCCGCTCACCAGTCCATCACACGGATCCTCATCCGCTCGCACATGGAAGGGAACTGAGAAAAGGGATACGGGAAGAGGGTGAGCAGTGCTGGGGACACTGGGAGGGGACCTTGGGGACACCAGGGCTCACCATGGCCGGCAGCGTCAGGCACTGGTTCCACTGGGGGTTGGCGTTTTTCTCCAGGATGCGGGAGCAGAGCTGGAAAGGAGGGATGGGAAGAGGGAAAAGTCGGTGTTGTCCCAGGAAAGCGGCTGTTGGCCCAGTTCATGGAGCTGGGAAGCCTCAGATTCCCTAAAATCCGGCTTCAGATTCCCTAAAATCTGGTCTCAGATTCCCTAAAGTCTGGTCTCAGATTCCAGAAAGTTGAGGCTCAGATTCCCCCAAATCCAACTTCAGATTCCCTAAAATCCATCCTCAGGTTCCCCAAAATCCAGTCTTAGATTCCCAAAAGTTGAGGTTCACATTCCCCCAAATCCAGCTTCAGGTTCCTGAAATCCAGCCTCAGGTTCCCCAAAATGCAGTCTCAGGCTCCTCAAAATCCAGCCTCAGTTTCCCTAAAATCCGTCCCCAAATTCCTTAAAATCTAGCCTCAGCCTCCTTAAAATCCAGCCTCAGATTCCCTAAAATCCATCCCCTATTCCATGGGGTTCCTAAACCCCCTGGTGCAGGAGGCAGAGGATGCTTCGGATTTCCCAGGGGTCTTCCCACCTTGGGACCAGCAGGATCACATCTGCCCCATTCCAGGAGCAAATTTCCCCATTCCAAGACCAAATTCCTCCATTTAAAGACTGAATTTCCTCATTCCAGGCTTGGGGATCTGGAGGGAATATCCCACTGCCATTCCAGCTCCAAGGACATCCCACAGAAATCCCAATCCCAGGGATCTACAGTGAATATCCCACTGCCATCCCAACCCCAAGGACATCCCAGTGCCATCCCAATCCCAAAGATCTGGGAGTAACAGTCCCAGTGCCATCCCAATCCCAAATTCCTGGGGACTGTCCTGCTGCCATCCCAACCCCATGGATATCCTGCTGAAATCCCAGTCCCAGAGATCCAAAGGGAATGTCCCACTGCCATCCCAACCCCAGATTCCTGGGGTCTGTCCTGTTGCCATTCCAGCCTTGAGGACATCCCACTGAAATCCCAATCCCAGGGATCCAGAGGGAATGTCCCACTGCCATTCTAACCCCAAGGATATCCCAGTGCCATCCCAATCCCAAAGACCTGGGAGGGAATGTCCCACTGCCATTCCAGCCTCAAGGACATCCCACTGAAATTCCAGTCCCAGAGACCCAGGAGGGGCCATCCCACTGAAATCCCAACACCAAGGACATCCCGCTGTTATCCCAATCCCACAGACCTGGGTGGGAATGTCCCACTGCCATCCCAACCCTGAGGACCATGAGAGGTCATCCCGCTGCCATTCCCAATCCCAGGATCATCCCAGTGCCATTCTCAATCCCAGGATTATCCCAGTGTCATTCCCAATCCCAAGGTTATCCCAGTCCCAGGAACACCCTGTTACCATCCCAGTCCTGAGGACATCCCACTGAAATCCCAATCCCAGAGATCTGGGAGGGAACGTCCCCCTGTCATTCCCAATCCCAGGTTCATCCCGGTGCCATTCCCAATCCCAGGATTATCCCGCTGCCATTCCTAATCCCAGGATCATCCTGGTACCACTACCAATCCCAAAATCATCCCACTGCCGCTCCCAATCCCAGGATCATCCCACTGTAATCCCAGTCCTAAGAACATCCCACTTAAATTCCAATCCCAGAGAGCTGGGAGGGAATGTCCTGCTGCCATTCCCAATCCCAAAATCATCCCGCCACCATTCCCAATCCCAGGATCATCCCACTGCCACTCCAATCCCAGGATCATCCTGCTGCCATTCCCAACCCCAGGATCATCTCACTCTTATCCCAACTCCAGGAACACCCCACTGCCATCCCAGTCCTGAGGACATCCCACCAAAATCCCAATCCCAGAAATCTGGGAGGGAATGTCCTGCTGCCATTCCCAATCCCAGGATCATCCCACTGTTATCCCAGCCCCAGGAACACCCCACTGCCATCCCAATCCCGGATTCCTCCTGCTGCCATTCCCGGGATCCCGGCGGATCCCGCTCCACGGACCGTTTTCCCGGCAAAGCTGACTTCCACAAAGGGATCCACCAGGTTTTTCTTGTTGCTCTCAAAGCCGAAGATCTGCCGGACGTTGTCCATGACGGCGTCATCCACTGGGAAGAAAGGGAGATGCCAAAATCCATGGAATTCTGCAGCATCCAGAGGGTCCCAGCTGTCCCCCCAGCAGGATGAGCATTCCCATGGAGGAGACGCTCTCCAGGCGGGAAAAGCAGGGGGATAAAACCAGTTTGGACCAGTAAGAAACTCCTCTCCCATAAAACTGCCCAACATCCTTGGATTATAATAACGGATCGTTTCCTTCTCCGGGCCCTAATTCCTGCCTGGAATGTCTCGATTCCAAGGGATCCAAAGGAAAAACCTACTCTGGGGCAAATCCTCGGCTTTGTAGATCTTGAGGCAGAACTGGGCGCCCCGGAGGGTGACCCCGGTGGGGCGCAGCAGGTTGGCCTCGATGTCCTCCTTGTCCTCGGACACCTCCTTCTTCTCCAGCTGCGGGAACAGGACAACGGGAAAAGTCACCCCGGATCCGGGAATGAGCAGGAAAATCCCAAAAGAGAGAGGGTGGGTGGATGCTCCAGCTCTCTGAGTGTCCAAGGTGAGGTTGGACAAGGTTTGGAGCAACCTGGGATAGTGGAGGTGTCCCTGCCCATGAATGCGGTGGAATTTAACCAAACCCAAAACATTCCAGGATTCTGGAACCCAGGAGCTCTGGAGCCAGGCTGGGAGAGCTGGGAATGCTCCCCTGGAGAAGGGAAAGTTCCCGAGAATCCTCAGAGCCCCTGGAGGGGCTCCAGGAGAGCTGCAGAGGGACTGGAGACAAGGCCTGCAGGGACAGAAGCCAGGGAATGGCTCCCACTGGGAAAGGGGAGATTGGGTTGGGATCTTGGCAAGGAATTGCTGGCTGGGCTGGAATTCCCAGATTTGCTGTGGCTGCCCCTGGATCCCAAGTTGGACATCAGGGTTGGATCCACCTGGGACAGTGGGAAGTGTCCCTAAGCTGGGAAGGGGTGGAATTTAAGATCTTCCCCAACCCAAACCATTCCAGGATTCCATGATAAAATGCAACACTTTTCCCCCAAAACAGAGGAAAATCCAAACTGTGGCTTCCTTGGGAATGGCCATGGAGGTTGGTGGGTCTTGGCCAGAATATCCCAGGGCTGGAACGCCCCAGGGCTGGAATGTCCCACCATTCCCAGCAGGAATACTCACGGGAGCTTCGTCTCCAGGCCCCAGCACGCAGGCGCTGACCTTCAAGTAGCCCTTGGCTCCCGCGGAAAAATCCTCCGGATCCGAGAGGAGCAGCCACTTCCTGCGGAAAGCGTGTTCTGCGGGAAAACGTGGGAAACTGGGAATTACTCCTTGGATGTGCAGGGAGGTCAGGGATGCTCCTGGGTGGGGTTTAAATGGAAATCATGCAGTGGGATAAGAGAATATTTCAGTTCCTTTCCCAGGAAGGGACCAGGGAAGAACGAAGGGTAATTGGAACAAAATTCCTGGAAAAACTACGGATGCTCCATCCCTGGAAATGTCCAAGGCCAGGTTGGATGGACTTGGATCCACCTGGGATAGTGGAATTTTTCCCTGGATGGAACCAGATGATCCTTAAGGTCCCTTCCCACCCAAACCATTCTGGGATTCCATGGCCATGGATTTGGGATTTGGGGCTCCTCTATGGAAGAGTTGGGATGTGTGGGCGCTTTTCCCAAAAAAATCCCAAAGAAATTTCCCAAGGCTCACTTGGCTCGGAGTAAACGGTCTCCACATCCATCTGCGGGATTAAAGGAAAAGGAGATGCCAGAGTTCATCCAGAGCAGGAAACGCTGGGAAAAGGGGATGGGATCTTACCCGGAATTCCCCGATCACTGAATCCGTGCGGAACGACCGAGAATCCACGACCTGAAAATGAGGAAAAATGTGTGATCCAGCCCAAATCCTGCCAGGATGGAGGATCCTGGGGAACAGGAGGGGTTTCCCTGGGAAGGGGAGAATTCCAGGATTTCCCAACACTCACCGTGAGGAAAATGGGAGCATCGAACAGCTCCGATGGGGACTCAAAGACGTTGAAGAAAAAAGTCTGTGGAAAACCAGGATGAGGATGAGGCGTTATCCCAGTTTTCCACCCGGAGCGCATTCCCACATCGCAGCCTCTCCCAGGAATCGTTGGAGTGGGAATTCCCGCTGACCTCATCGAAGAAGGGGCTGTTCCCTTTCCGGATCCGCGTTCTCCGGGTTTGTCCGGCCACCGTCACCTTCACCACCGGCCGGATCTGGATCCCGGGAAGCTGCCGGGCCTCGATGACCCTCACCCGGATCTGGGATGGGGTGGAGATGTGGAATCACCGGGAAGGGAATCACAAAGATCATCCCACAGAATGGAGGACAGGGAATCACCAGGATGAGAATCACCAGGATGAGAATCACCAGGATCATCCCATAGGATGGAGGACAGGGAATCACCAGGACAACCGGCAGGATTTTAAGGGAACAGCTCATCCCACCTGGAAGTCCTGTGGTTTGTTGGATAAAGGTTTTTTGGGAGAGCTCCTCCTCCTCCTCTTCACCCCCTGGATGTGATTCCCGGACGGTTTCCTTGGGAGCGAGGGCGGCTCCGAGCCCGGTGCTCCCGAGGACGCCGAGGGCTCCGTGTCCCCCGTG